TCACTGTAGTCCAAGCCCACCAGCTATGGTGGCTGGGCTATGGCGCTGCCCTCAGCAGTGCCCTCCTCTGCACGACCGCACGTGCTGCACCTCGCCTCCCAGCGCTAGCAGCAGCCTACGAGCATTAGCTCCAGCAGCGCTGCCGCCCAGCATGCGAGTGCCTGAATGAGGCAGCCAGGGCCGAGCTCTTTCCTTTATGGAAAGAGTTGGCCTGCTCACGCAGCCTGGCTGCCTTGGCCTGGGCCCAGAAGCTTCCGGAAGGCTGCCTGGATGCAGCAGCGACTGGGCTGCTGGGCCTCGTTCGGTTGGGCGCCCAACTGTCTCTGTATGAGGCTGCGAATCACGGCCAGGGCCTGCATTCTTTGGAAAGGCCCGGTAGGCCGTGGAAATGTCCTTGTTGCTCGGCCTGTGTTTCTTTCAACCAACTGGCGCGTCGCAACTGCCTGACAGTCGAAGGCCTTTTGCAAAAAGCCAGGCCCGCCTTCACTTAGGGCGGGCACCTCCGCCTTCACTTAGGGCGGGTAAGGCTGCAGACAGGGCCCCATAGGCCTACCGAGGACCCTGATCCTCGCAATACCACCAGAACGCATGAAAAATAAAAAAAATCAACGCAACAGATTTCCAAAAAAAAGTCGATATAACGGATTTTCAATTTTGGGAATTCCAAAAAAAATTTGCGGAATTTTTGAATATCAGGAAATTGCAAAAGGACATACCAATCGGAAAAAAAAATTGTGACAATCTTCCGGATTTTCAGCACAAAATTTCGAATTTCAAAAGAGAACGGAAAAATGAGAATTTCGGATGCTATGCTATTTGCGGTTTGAAACAGAAACAGTCGGAACACGAAATCCGAGAAAAAAAGGAAAAAATTTTGATTTCGGCAGTTAGGTCAAAATTTGCTATTTTGGGGACTAATTAGTGTGACCTAATCAATCAATCAATCGGTAGATCTGAGATCGATCAATCAATCAATCAATCAATCAATTGGTAATACACTAGTCCACGGCCACGTGTCAGATCAGGTTGGTAGGTCCGATACCAACTGATACATGCCCAGTTGGGCAATGTATGTAGAGCCAAGGATCCGCAATGTGATGAAAAGGACTGAATGGACAATGCAACGCTAGTGAAACATCAACAGGCAATGTACATCCTGACACACATACGAAATGGCACTCGATAGCGCAAAGGACGACTTCAAGGTAAGTCCTGACAAGGCCTGGACTGACACGACATCCCATCATACATCACACATGCGAGAGGAAGAGGAGGGACCGCACACCAAGAAGAAAGGTCCCTCCTCGTACAGGCACATGGGGAGATACCATAGACGAGGGATGGAGGGAGAGGGAAGAGGAAGATGGAGGCGAGGGAGGAGTCCAAGATCACGACAGCGAAGTCCAAAATAGTCCCTTGCCGATGTCCAATCAATGTCTGCCTCAGAGATGTCGAATCAGATCCTGGGCAACATGCCCTTAGTAACCACTGCCGATATCCTCTGCTGATAACCTCTCTCACTCTCGTATCTGAAGAAAAAGAAGAAGAAGATGAAGAAGAGGAAGGAGGGAGGAGGAAGAGGGAGAGAGAGAGATGAGATGGAGGATGAGGAGGGAGAAGAGAATGATGTCCTCCTCGCTATGTCACCTACAGGTGCTACCGCCGTGCTGGCTATGTCGCTGTCCTGTGCAGGTACCGGAGCCCAGCTATGGCGCCAGGTAAGCCCGCTGCTGCAGGTAAGCCTCCATCTCTCTCTCCTCCCATGTGCATCTCCTCCTGGTCCAGTAGCGCAGCGCTAGAGTAGCGCCACCCCTCCAGCAGCGTGTCGCTCAAAGAAGTGAGGGACCGAACTCTCCGTTGAGTCCGGCCTCAGCCCAGCTATATGTAGCGCTGGGCCGACTGGGCGGACTCAGGTGTGACCTCAAAACGGCCTACTGAGTCTGGGTCCCTACCGGGTGCCCAGACTGCGCTGCTGGTGCAGCGAGGCACCAAAATGCACCTGGACTTTTTCTGGTCCCTGCGTACCTGGTCCAAGGCGTTGCCTTGGGACCTGCGGTCCGAAACGGCGTTCGGACAGACCCTACCGGTACCTGTGGCCAAAGAGGCCGCTATGGGCCTCCAGGGTGCGCGCTGGATGGCGCGTGGCCTGGGGGCCCTTAGTAACCGTCGGGCCCTTCAAAACAGGGCCCGTGTGCAGCCGCAGCATGTAACAGGGAGTCTGATGTGCACCTGCTCAAGTGATGATGTGGTATGACCCGACACAGCATTCAGAAGGGAAGAAGTTTGAATGGGGGTTGAGGGGTGGTTGGTGCGGGTTGGGACGGGCTTGGGGGGAATGGTGGAGAGTGATTTTGTTTTTCCCCTCGGTTTGATCGCACGGGGGCGTTGCGCGCTGGATGGCGCGTGGCCTGGGGCCCCTTAGCAACCGTCGGGCCCTTCAAAACAGGGCCCGTGTGCAGGCGCAGCATGTAACAGGGAGCCTGATGTGCACCTGCTCAAATGATGATGTGGTATGACGTGACACAGCATTCAGAAGGGAAGAAATTTGAACGGGGGTTGAGGGGTGGATGGGGCGGGTTGGGGC